GTCATGGTGGAATTCTGATCACCTAGAGTTAACATAATTATTTAGGCTCTCTAAAGTGCCACAGAAAAAGTTTCTGTCTAAAAACACTAACCAGAGTATAATCCATTCTGCAACATCAAAGAGAAAAAAAATTTCCTATTTTGGAAGTTCTTGTCCTAAGTGAGTTTTGTTTTACTTGTTTGTTTTGAGAGCCCTGGTAATCGTTTTGCATATGGTTTTAAAGTTAAAAAAAAACCCAAAACTGCTCAAGCATATTAACGTTCAGCAGAGTGGTATTCTTTACAGGGTTTAACTACTGAAGCTGGGGAGACTACACAAGTAGCTGTTGAACTGACCTCAAAGATTCTTAAGCATCTGCACTGACATGGGAGAAAACCCCGCAGACTTAACCTCCTCCCCTGGACTGCAGCCAACAATGCTTGGTTAATTAAATAAATTGAGTTCTAACTTCTTTCTTTTTTGTTCATATGTTCCAGCCCAGAGAATGAATTATTAAGACCTTAGAAGACCAAATTCCAAAAAGAAAGGAAAATGAAGAAAGTAGCAAATAATCCTTCAGTAAGCAGTAGTGGGCTGGGCATATGGAAGCAATCTAAATTATAGGCAGCAAGTCCAGTGGAGCCCAACCCAGTCGAACCCAGTCGAACCCAGTTTTCGCCTCTATAGAGTCTTGTACATATTTCAATCTTAGCACTTAATGTATTAGATGAAACAACCCATCTCATTAGACAAACCACACATTTCTGTGGGATAAGGACTTCACCAGTATGAACTCATTTAAGACCCAGTAAGGAACACACCAAGAAAATAAATCATCACTGCCAGGCATGGTGGCACATGTCTGCAACTTGGGAGCATGTTGTGAATTCGAGGTCAGCCTAGAGTACATAGTGAGTTTAAGGCCAGCCTGAACTAAGAGCAAGACTCGGTATAAAAGGAAAAGAAAAACATCTCATTCTCTAGCTGCTAAAATAAATAACATGTTGACATTATGTAGCATTCTTGAAGAGGTAATAGGCATAAAACCTTTACTTGAAGAGATAATTTTTAATAATAATACAAATAAATACCTAAGTGTAAGGTTAGAAAGAAGAAGAACTAGACGGCTTCTTGGCAGAAATAGACTCAGTTTATGAAGTTTACTGCAAAGGCTGGAAGGAGAGAGAGATCTCCTGATGAGAACAAGAAGTACCACAGTTTGGAGTTCATGAATTGTGAATTCCTAAAGCCCAAAGGAAGCTCCGAATTAAGACATGGTGTTATGGTTTAGACGCAAAGTGGGGCCTGGTCAGAGGGGGCGGGTCACTGGTGACCTGAAGGGCGTATACGCGGCCTGGCTTCTCCCTTCTCTTCCTGTTTCTGGCCACCATGACATGAGCAATTTCTTCACCTGGCCTTTCATCATGTTGTTCTGCTCTGAAGTCTGCCAAACATGGATTGAACCCAGTGAAACTGTCAGCCAAAGTAAATGTGTCCACAATATTGTGGGAGCCAGGTATTTTGTCCCAGCAATGGGAGAGTAGCTAATACAGATTTTGGTACTGAAAGAAGGGTCATTGCTCTGACTGTATTCTCACCTTGTGGTTCAGAACCTTTGGAACTTGTTTGCCAATTTGGAAAACTTGGGGAAGCAGATTACAGAATCCCTACGTTGCTATAAACAAAGCTTAATAGATGATTCCAGTTGAAGGTCAGAAGATAATGCAACAGAAATGTAGACAATAAAGTCCAGGCTCAATCAGTTTCGGTTGGAATTGAATCTGAGCCTGTGTATGTTTCACTTTGGCAAACTGTTAGTTTTACCCATATCCTAAGACCTTGTGTTTGGCTGAGTTTAAAGGTAGTGAGCTAATTAATCTGCTGGAGAAAATTTTGGCCATGCAATGTTCATGTTGTGGCATGGGTACTGCAGAGTTTCAGCCAGATTTATAATGAGAGTCAGGAGCAATAAATAGAACTGAGGGCAGGGGATTTAGCTCTGTGGCTCAAGCGCTTGCCTGGTAAGTACCAGCTCATGAGTTCAATTCCTTGTACCAAAAAAAAAAATCAGAACTGAGAGAAAGTGGAAAATCTTGCTGGTAGCCAGAAAGGAAGCACCTGTAATGTTGGGGCCAAGGAAAGCATGACTTCTGAAAAGATTAGCATTAAAAAGACCCAAATACTTTGCATCAGAGCAATAGGAAACATGATCTGAAGGCATCTTTGGAATCAGAAAGATATCACCCATTTTAGGCTCAAAGATGCAAAAAATGTTTATCTTTCATTTGAAAAGAGAGTCCCAGGGCATCCTGCTTAAGAAGGGCTGCCTAGGGAATTGGTTTCCCCATTCATTTCCCCATGATCTGTAAACTACCCAGCATTCAAAGGCCACCGTAGCCATGGTTAAAGGAGAACTGGCTACCACTCAAGTTGGCAGAGACCTTGGTATCATTCTCATGGCATTAGTTTTTCAGGAATGCAGAATATAAGAGCTGTGACATCTTGCAGGCTTCTATCTAGATTTCAAAAGAAGGCCTAAGAAGCCAGGCAATGCACTCCTGACAGGGTAGTGTGTTAAGCTGAGAATGTGAAGCCAAAGGTGCAGTGGAGACCCCAGGAAGCTGGAGATGCCGGAAACATGAATCATCTACTGAGGCAAGCCACAAGTAGGGAGCACAGTCCGAGTTAGAGAGACTATGTGATCTGCAAGCAGCAAGACCATATGGCAGGGCTGTCCAGGCCCTTCGGAGTTCACATCTTGTCACAGGTAGCCCCGGGTGCTGGACATGAAACTAGGATTTAGTGTTGCCCTATTGACTGAGTTTCAGTCTTGCTTTGGTCCCATCCTTTCTATCCCCCTATTTCTGTTTTGGAATGGGAACGTTTACCCTGCGCCATTATATAAAATATTTAATTTTCTTTTTGATTTTTGCAGGGGCTCACAGCTGAGTTTGTCTCAGTCTCAGAGAAGACTCTGGCTTTTAATAGTTGGTTAACTTTGGTGACTCTAAGAGATGAACTAAATGCATTTTACATAATGACATAGTCATGAACCTTTTGAGGGCCACAAGGAGAATGTTAAGGGTTAGATCCTCAAAGCCTCATGCTCAGAGGTACGGCCTGGTTGGAGGGGGTAGCTTCCTGGGAGTGTGATGTGGCAGGGTGTATTCATGGTTCCTCCTTTCTCACTGTGTTTTCTGGGCCATCCTGGTGTGACCAGCTTTCTACAACCACGTCTTTCATCATATATTCCTGCCCTGGAACCTGTCAGCGACACACTGAACATACTGAAACCACAAGCCAAGGAGAATCTTTCCTCCTTTAAATTGCAGGTGCCAGGTATTTTGTCCCAGTGACAGGAAAGCACTAATACACATGGTCAACATCAATCACAGAGTAATAACAAGGGGAGAAGATATCTGAGAAGTACACTCTGTATCACACACACCCTCTCACACACATAAAATTCTACAGTGGAAGAACTAAATGTTAGTCCTCTTCCAAGGTCCTATCTTCCTGGCAAGGGCCTGACCTGTCCTTTCACTGGCAAAACATAAACATCATTCAGATCCTGACTTTCAGAGTCAGGCTCTTGTTTCAACAAGGGTTTGCAGGCAACAACCACATGTATTTATAGAGCCACCATTGCATAGCAGCATCTCCTTGCCCACGGGGGGCACTGAGAAAGCCATGCAGTTTGGATGGGCATCCTGCACTTCCCGCGATGGGAGCACAGAGAGCAGAATGAGGCCGTTCACCGGTTTCAGCCCCGGCTGTGCGTGAGAATCACCTGGGGAGCTTCCAAAAGACGCAAGTGCAGAATCTCAATCCAAACCAGTTAAAGCAGAATTGCGAAGGGTGAGGTTTATGTATTTTGTTAAAGCCTCATATAGAATTATCATTAATTGTTTTTCAGCACAGTAAAAGCTTTTTTAAAAAAAAAGTCTTTGCTCAGATAGAAAACTTGTTTTAATATATTCCATGAAGAAGAGATAGCTTTGGTTATAGAAGACTGGCAAAGATACTGATAATTATTAAGGGTGGGTGATGCATAGAGTATTTGATGAATTATTCACTGTACTTTTATATTTGTGAAATTTTCCAGGATAAAATTATCTTATTGTATTAGCAGAGATATACATCTGTTATCACATCTCCAAAATATATAAGTGTATGTGTATAATGTGTTTAACATAAAGTACTTTTTAAAAATATATTGAAATAAAAATTTTGCAAGCAATTTTAATGTGCCTAGTTCCACCAGGAACCACTAGGCTGTATCACTGATAGAGAGGTAACTGGACTTGGAAAACCTTTCAATTAGCAAGAGGAAATCAGGTAAAAGCATTCTACTCAGTCCTGTGGCAAAACAGCAGCAGGCCTCCTCCAGTGGGCAACCATCTCCTGTTTCTGCCATGCACGTATCTGCCTGAATTTAGAGTCCACACTCACAAGTAAACTGTAGACAGGTATGGAAGCATGCACACACTTGTGTGTATATGATTTAAGATAACACTGCATGCAATCGGTAACATGTAATTAAAAACACTATTTCTGGTAACATTCCCTATGATCTAACATGCTTTAGATCACAAAAGCATTCCTTACAAGTGGTCTTGGGGCTCGGCCTTAGGGTTTCATTTTCAGGACTGGTAAATTCCTTACCCACATAAGTGATTTATGGGCAATGCTGCTTAAGAAGACCCTGAATAATTTTTATTTTCAGTACTGGAGATTGAATCCAGGACCTCACATAAAGTAAACAAGAGCTCTAGCATTGAGCTCTATCCCCAGCCCTTTATAAAAATTTTATTTTGAGAATGACTCACTCAGTTGCCCAGGTTGGCCTTGAACCTTCTGCTTTAGCCGCCCCAGTAGGTAGGATGTGCCCCTAAGCTGACCTGAGTAAATTCTTAAACCAGGGGCTACCAGTGGGACGAACGAATAAAACAACCAAACACTTAATGAATTGAAAAATGCATCACAACACCCATATTTAACCTCCAAATCGCCCAACTCACCTATTCTTCTCCATTTCATTGTGAGTTGATCTGAAAGACAGAACAGTAAGAAATGAGATTATTCTCATGTTAGAGGACTATTTTAACATCAATACAATTTTTTAACTTCTTTCTCTTCAGAGTTGGTAGGACAGAAGGGCAGGGAAAGGGGGGAAAAGTACCACTGGGCTCTACTAACGAAATCAGAAATCTACTTGGAAAACTAGACAAACGTAAATATCTAAAATAGAGTTCAAGGAGCAGTGCATTTCCTAGTGGAAAAATGGGAGCTGGGGGTTTAGCTCAGTGGCACGAGCACGTGCCTGTCAAGCACGAGGTCATGAGTTTGATCCCTGGTACAAAAAAAAAAAAAAAAACTAGTGGAAAAACAATTGTTTTTACAAAGGACATAAAAGCGTCTACTTATACAAAGTAAACACACACACACACAAACAGTTGCACAATGCAATGTGAATTTGGGTTATGAAACATGACAAAGCTTTCTTTATACTAAGGGTAAAAAAATGAAGCTAATATTCCAACCCCACCCCTGCAGTGTTTTTCTAAGGGTAACATACACCAAAATTTTATGTTAAATTGACTATAGGACACCAATTTAAATGGTAAAATAATCCTCTTTCTCAAGCTCCCAACTCCCTAAATTAACGATCCCATCACAGCTCCTGAAATACACTTGCTGAATAGTTACCAAGTGATTTTAGGAAGGGTTTTCCAACATAAAAACAGTAGGCTGGCAAAAGCATGTCACTGACTAGTACTACAGATGAAATAAAATTTTTTTACCATCCTGTCCTTGGTTGATCCCTCTATAAAGTGGGAATAAACATGATTGTCCATAACCTACTCAACAAGTGTGGATCAGTGAGGCAGCCACTGTGGTAGTGATTACAGAGCTTGGAAGAAGGGTGTGGCAGGTGAAATTATATTATTACTGTGTTTATGGCTGACCTCGAAAATAAGGTCTGGTCTAAGAGTTTATGGAGCGGTTTTCCAAATGCCACAAGTCAGTCAATGTAACCCTCACTCACCCACCTCCTCCCCAACACTTGTGAACATCCCAACACTTGTGAACATGAGGAATCTGCCGGTCCTACAAAAGAACTCAATCTTGACCTTTCTTAAGGGAATTCTGTCCTGTAACCAGTTAAGGAGTTTACTCCCCGGCTTAGGTCATGAATTCTGTGGGGACCTAATCAGCCGCGACAAAGTCTCATGGTGGTCCTGCAGGAACCCTGCCTTGACTGTCAGGACACCATCAGCAAGTTCACGCACACCACACCCTGGGAGTGATGAAAGTGCGTGGCTGTGCGTGGGCAGAAATTTGTCTTAAAATGGGAAATTTCTACACTAGCATTAAAACGTCTCTTTAATAGGCCCCTGGAAGATCAATTTTTACTCGTGAGGAAAAACAGATGAGAAAATGACAGTATTTTCACCTTTAGAGTGCTAGTTTTCTAGATAAATGATATGTGGGCCTCAAAATTGGTTAATTAAAAAGTTTTCTACGGCTGGGTGTGGTGGCGCACACCTGCGGTCCCAGCACTTGGGACGCTGAGCAGGAGGATTGCTGTAAGTTTGAGAACAGCCTGAACTTCACAGAGAGCCTCTGTCTCAATAAGACAATAAACAAACTAAATAAAATAAAATAAAAGTTTTCTACTGATTTTCTTGGTTGTCCCTCATCCTTCTTGTTTTTTTGTCTGAGACAAGGTCTTGCTATGCAGTTCAGACTGGTCTTCAGCCCACCAGCCCAGGCTGGTCTCCAACTTGCAACAATCCTCCTGCCTCAGCCTCCCGAGTGCTGGGTCTACAGGTGTGTGCCACCACACCTGGCTTCCCTCATGCTTCTTTATTCACATTTTTCTTCAAGTTTAGTTCCTTTAGTGGCCAGTAGAATACCACAGTCAACAGGAACCTGGCCTGTGCTATGAACCTTTGGCTTTCAAACACGTGGCATTTTACTTTTAACTGGGAATAATAAGTTCAAAGTCTGATAGATTTTAAAATGGATAAAAATATACAGTATCTGATCAGTATTTCTCTGTTGAACTGTAGACCTAGCACCATTCCCAGTAGGTAGAGGAGGGGAGGGTGAATATACCATCACGCAAGGTACTCATCAAAAAATTCTAGATTCGGGGCTGGGGATTTAGCTCAGCGGCACAAGCGCCTGCCTTGCAAGCAGGCAGTCATGAGTTCGATCCCCGGTACCGATAAAAAGGAAAAAGACAAAAAACAAAAACAAACAAAAATTCTAGATTCTTTGAAGAGATGTAGATAGGCAGACTGATATTTATATAAAATTCTGAATCCCCAAGATAAAGTATATAATAAATCTCACAGGAAACCTACTCTTTCTAAACATTGAAAGCAGTTCCAGAAATGATTCCTTTCCAGTGGTAAACACAGGGTGTTTTTAAAGGTGTACTTCTACCTAATGTTACTAATAAGTGCTGCTTTGCTAAAACAGAGTTAGTCATTAATAAGAAGCAGGCTTTTCAAACATGGTTAGGACACAGCTATCCTGTCACCTCTGTTTATGGGTAAGCATCTGTATTTTTGATTAAGATATTATAAGAATATATTGATAGCTTGTGTCAAAACTATTTTCCATGTGAGTACTGAAGATTTGATAAATCCGGATTCACTGATAAAGGACACATTTCACCATTTAAAAATATATTCTGATGAAAAGATAACTAAGTCAAACTACACCATATCTAAGAAATGAGAAAAGTCCTTGGCTCAAAAAAACTCCTGCTATGGGTCAGCTACATAGACATGGTCTTATAAAAGAACAAGTCCTGAACCTCCTCTGTCACATGTGTGCCACAGCCTGCTTTACTATGGAACACAGCGTCAGAGCTGGATGTGATGGTGCCTGCCTGGAGTCCCAGCTACTTGGGAGGTGAAGGCTGGAGGATCACTTAATCCTAGGAGTTTGGGATGAATCTGGGCCACATAGCAAGACCTCACTTCTTAAGGAAAAAAAAATAAAAACAAAGTTCTAGATTTCAATTCTAAATAATTACTAACTCATTTAAAAAATCAGTAAGAAAGAAAACAAGCTTCTAGTAGTTCTCTGGAGAGTTTCAAAACAATCAATATTCACAATTCCATTTGTTCTTATTGAGTTTTTTTCTTCCTTTTTTGCTTTTTAAACAAGCAGCTGTTAAACAAACTGCACTTCAGTTCCCAAGAGGCTTAATATAATGGCTAAATCTTTTTTTATCATCCAAAGAAAAGTACTCTTTCAGACTCTATAAGAAAAGAGCACAGCATTTTCAACCCACATGAACAGGAATAAACTGCTATCCGAGTCCTATAAACCAGCAGCAATCTTTCTCCTGTCCCTCATTCAGTTCAACATTCTACTCATGTGTGGCCTTGGATATAAGGCTGACTCAAACCCAGAGGTCAACCAACTTTCTTGTTGTGTCTGCTTACTCCTCAGGTAAGGGACATTCCAAACAGGGTCATGAAGGAAGTGATCACACTTAAAACTATACAGTCTTGCTGTGTGTGGTGGCCCGTGCCTGTAATTCCAGCACTCAGGAGGCTGAGGCAAGAGGTTTTCTGAGTTCCAAGTCAGTCTGGGCTACCCAGTGAGTTCAAGAACAGTTTACATATGGAGATTCTGTCTCAAAACAACAACAAAAATCCCAGCAAAAAAAACAAAAGAGCCTATCTGTTCTTGCTTCATGTTTAATTGATACCATCTCTAGATTTTAATCAGGGTTTCCCTGAGAGCCTTACATTACTGAATTAGTATTTATTAGACAGCCTCAGTCTAAACATAGAAGGCAAACCACACCCATTAACAGAAGCTAGAACATTTCTAAAAGTCAGGAATTGTGGCCACTTTTCAAGAATAATACCTTTTTTGGTTGTGTTTTTTGTTTTGTTTTGTTCTTGTTTTTGTCTGTCTGAGGCAGGGTCTCACTATGTAGGGCAAGCTGGCCCTGAGTTCCTTTTGCAGCACAGGCTAGTTTTGAACTTTCAACAAACCTGCATCTGCCTTCTGAGTGCTAGGATTACAGGAATGTGCCACCACACCCAGCTTAATACTGGTTATTAAAGAGAAGATGAAGAATTCACTTCTTGAAATTCTCAACTTCATTATTTTTCTTTCTTAATCACCTTTTTGGGACAGCATCACTTCTCTTCAACAGCATCTCTTTTTCTACTCCTCAAATCAGTATATCCCTCTATAACCCTCCTGTGAATCTTAGGGAAAAAATAATTTATATCAAGGTATTTTAGCCTCAAGGTATCCAACAACTTCAAATCATGAGTGGTCACTATGTTTGTGAACTTATGTTTTTCCAGGAGAATAAATTAAGAGGCCTCAAAATTCTTCCAAACAAATTTTTAAAAATCACTACTGTAACAAAATCCACCACAGTGTACTTTATTTTGGATGCCTTTTCATAATACAAATTAGCATTAACATCCCCCTTCAACGGCCCAGTACCCATGCACAGGACTGCTGACTACTGCCTGCAGATTACTGTTGAGATGACAGGACAAGGAAATTCACCAGGTAATTACCGGGTTCATCCTCCATGTGCCTTCTTAACCAAGAGTGTGTTACAAATGTGCTGCTCACATCCTGTGGTTCCACCAACATTAAGGACCGTGGAGTGAACCAAGGACAGAAGTCACAAGAACAAATGAATTTTAGGTTTAAGTGGGAACAGCCTAATGTTGAGGGGTTTGTATGAAGCCTCAGAGGCTATTCGGATAGTTACCTGCAGTAAGTTAGGTATGAGGGTGAGAAGAGACAAGAATGCTAAATCAGTGATACAAATGTCAATGATTTTGATTTACAACTGAAGGGACTTAATACAACATATTTCCTACCTTATATTTTAAGGGTAAAAAGGGAGCAATAACATTAACAGAAATATTTACACATATAAGGAACTATGCTTAGGATTTCATTGACCATTAACCAAATACTTTCGAGTAAGATTCATAGATTTTAAAAACTTTAAGGCAATCTATGAGGCTAAGATGAAAACAACACAACATACTAATATTTTATTATATAATTCCTTCATCACCAGAAAGATAGGTTCTAATCTCGTCCCTTGTAGCTATAATAAACAAATGTGAAAAATTAGACAAATTTATGTTGCTATTTTTTTTTTATATCAGGGATCAAACTCATGATGTTGCACTCGTCAGGCAGGTGCTTATACTGCTGAGCTAAATCCCCAGCCCTTGGATTTAATTTAAATATCAAATATAAAATCCTACCACTTATGCCAACTCCGATATGCTGTTTATAAAATTTTCACTATTAAAACATAATGTCCAGCCTTTTGAAATAAAGAAAACTTGCCATGAATCTGCAACTTCTGAAGACAGAATATTGTTGTTAATTTCACTTGAAGCTTTCACTGATTTTTCTCTCATCAATGGAGAAATGCAAAGTTAAATTTTAAAAAAGTTCATAAAGAAACGTAAAACATTGTTTTTCAGTTCCCTCAACTTATACAAAAGGGCTGCTTCCCCCAACAGCTTAAGACTATGTGTGCATTACTTAACATGATCGCCACTTAATGTATTTACAGGATCATAATCACATCAGCCTACTTCCATTCTGCCGTTTCTATCACCTACAGTATATCTAAACGAGAAAGAAATATTTACCAAATTACCTGCTACTGCTGTTATTCTTCTTGGATTTATTCCTCCGTTTTAAGGCATCTCTGTCCTTGTTATTGTATGGTAACATGGAGGCATAACCATGTTCAGCTTCTAGAAAACCGGAGGATCCAGTTAATGAATGAGCCCCAGAACATTTAATACTCTCTCCCCTTTCACAGTACAGTATTTCCTTTTTCATTTATTTATTTATTTATCTTTGAAAGAACACGGCGAAAATAACTAAACAGAGCAAGGTGGAATTCTGAGAACAATATATATATTTTTAAATTGCGTGACCACCCCCTGCTCCGGGCAGGTGTAAAGAAGATTCCAGCTGCTCATTGTTGAGAAAGACACAGCAAGTGGCTAAGCTCCAAGCCCGGGTTTCCCATTGCTAACGTCCAGCAGGTTGGTGCGGGTTAAGCGGGACTAGCCTAGGGAGAAGGTGCGGGGCACAACCGCGGACCGGGCCGGGGGAGGCACTGCTCCTCGCCCCGGGGACTAGGCGGCAGCCGCGGGGGAGCAGGCAGGCAAACCGCGCAGGTGAGGAAAGCCAAAGGCGACTGGCTGCGAGGGCCCCGTACCCACTCGGAGGGGGTGGGGAGGAGGTGCAGGACCCGGGCAGCAGCCCGCTCACTGCTGTGGGCAGCGGTGGCCTTCCTTTCAGAGCGCGCGTGGGGACAGTGGAGGGGTTGGGAGCGCTCGCGGTCGCGTTTCTGGCGTCTCCAACCACCCCGGAGAGGCTGGGCGCCACGATCCCCGGATTTGGTTCCCTAGGACCCTCAGCCCGGGCCAGACCCCTCTCCAAGCCCGTGCACCTCTCTCCCGCCGCTCCAGATAGTCGGCCGCCTCCAGCAGCATCTGGATGTTCATCCGAACCGCCGTCGCCATTCTGCACGGGGGCTGGAGCCACGGGACCAACCCCCACTGTCCACAGGCTCGCCGCCGGACACCCGCACCTCGGGGTGGACCCCGCTGAGCTGCGTTGAAGGAGCCTCTTGGGCAACCACGCTTGTCGGGAGGAAAGAGGTCAGTGAGCTGGGCACCGCCGACACCGTGACAGAACCCGGGGCAGAGCAGCCACCACCGCCGCGGAGTGTTTATCCCGACTCACCATCCCCCCGCCCCTAGCCCCTTCTCTTGACAGGCCCGCTTCGGCTGCGTTCCTCATTGGGCACCTGAAAGAATGCCCCACCCCTGGCTTTGTGCGATTGGTAGGGGGTACAGAGGCCCCGCCCCTCAAAGTCCGCTCCTTTCGTTGGTTGGCCGCGGTTGACAAGGCCCTAGCTCCACCCCTTTTTTCCAATTGGTGACAGGATTCGCAACTCCGCCTCCTGCTCCTTCCCTGTTTTCCATTGGTTCTATAGGAACAGCCTTTTTGCTTTGTTAGTATTGGCCAAGAGCTGTAGAAAGCAAGCCACTTCGCCTGGCTCTCATTGGTGAATACCTTGGAAAACTCCCAGCAGCAATGATATCACCTTTCGCCAGGCCCCGCGGGCCCCGAGTGGCTGGTGGTCAGCTGCCCGATTACTCCTCTTCAAGTTCGGCATTGGCTAGTGGGGTTGGCCGGTGCTGATTCACCGGCCGCTGCGGAGTCGGGCTCCACCCGACCCCTCCCGGTTCGCCTCAGACCTGTTGTCGCCCTGTCTTCCGGGAAAACTTCAGGGACTTGCCAAGCGTCCCTCGAATGGAAGGATGGCACCTTGCGTCACTGGGCGCTCTGCTTAGCTCAGGTTCGGAGCCGCAGCGGAGGAGGCTCCGCGCTTCCAGGGACTCCGGCGGTCCCGGGCTCTGCCGCAAGTCCCTCAGCGGGAGCGCAGCCTGGCGAACGGTCGGGGCGGTGGGTCGAGGGATCCTGCTGGCGCCACGTGGCTGGAGGGGAAAGCACGACCCTGTTAAATTCCCGTCGCCTGGAGTGAAACCACTGGAATTGGGCTGCATATACAGCACTGAGTTCCTCTCCAAAGGCACTACCCAGCCCGCACCAGGAAGGGATGGCAGCAAACTCGCGCGAGTGAGGAAAAGCTCAGAATTTTCTATTATTTACAGAATAAAACTGAATCTCCAAGATTCTCTGAGGATCTTTCCCTTCCTACTAGAGGAATACATTCAAAAGAATGTCCCCTTTTTCACGACGATAACAAATGGGGCGTGGAACAGCACTAATATAAATGCTTACTAGACTATTAGGTGGACAGAACCAAAAGGTTAGAGGTTGTTTACTTGCTTCGTTTCTTTCTTTCTTTCTTTCTTTCTTTCTGATAGCAGGGATCGAACTCGCGACCTCATGCTTAGCAGGCAAGCACCTATGCCACTGATCTAAATCCCCGACCCAAAAATTGTTTCCTTAATCAAAAAACATGTTTTTTAACACGAAAACGCTGCAGATCTATGTTACAATTATATATGATCTCCAATTAAAAAGTAGAACAGGTCAAAGAAAAGTAGAACTAAAGCTATTGGTAAATCTAAATGACTAAAGCATGACACTTTCTTTTTTGAGAAATTCATTGTTGCTAATTTATGGTAGTAATTGTTTACTGTCAGGTAATTTTTGTACATCATTTCTAATCTTCTGTATAACTCTAGAAGGTAAGTTGAGTTAACCACTACATTTTGCACACCAAGAAACATTAACAGAGACAGCGCAGGACTCCCTGTTCTCCATTCAGCTGAGGAGATGGAAAGTGAACCCTAAGTGTGTCTTACCCAGAGCTCCAGCTACCAGTCCTTCCAGTTGGTAGTAGTTGTACTAAAGACATGGCAGATAAACAGATTTCAAGACTGAACCACAAAACACTGACACTCAAACCTTGGGTAAGGTTAAATGTGTAAATGTTAATTATGGCAGGAAATTTTTTAAAGTGCCTTTTAGGCAGGTGTGGTCGGGACAGGAGGATTTCAACTTCAAGCCTAGCCTGTAACTCAGCAAAACCTTGTCTCAAAATAAAGATAAGTAAGAAGGGCTAGGGATATAAAATGCAAAGGCCTTTTCCAATACCCCCCCAAAAGCATCTTTTAATGGTTCATAAATCCATTAAAATTAAAATTTTAGAACACAGTATGTAGAATAAACATGTAGAAAGCCATTCTTAACATATAGGAAACACATCTTTCACTGTTAATGGTTAATGATCTAAGTAAGAGCTAGTTCTACATATGACACTAGTTAAATGTACAGACTGAGATAAGTTTTTCAAAAATGCACAAAACAAAGTTGGAAATGAGAATGGGAGAAAACAGTTGTAGTTTTCAAATGGCATATTTATAAAATACATCTGAAAATCAGTGAAACATGAAATTTTATTAAAGTACCTAAACTGATATTCCTAAAAGTGCTTTATCTTAATATTTTAAACTTTATATAGTTTTATAGCTTTTCTTTAGGTTTTATTATGAACACTTAGTATATCTTTTTTATTTTCTTTTTTTGGAACCAGAATTCATGGCCTTACATTTGCTAGGCAGGCACCATGCCACTTAACTATATACTCCTGGCCCAATATATATCCTTTTATATTTTCTCTTACTCAACAATTTTTTTTTTTTTTTTTTTTTTTTTTGGTACCAGGAATCAAACTCAAGACCTTGCCCTTGCCAGACAGGCACTATCCTACTGAGCTATGACCCTGAGCTGCACAATCAACTAATTGAAAATCACACTTATATTTTCAGAAAAGGAGGGGTAGGAGAGGTTGAAGTATTAAGAGAGAACAAATAAACTCCAACGTGTCTAGTTTATACTCCAAACAAAATACTAAGTTATATAAACATTAAGATTAAAGAAAGTACTATTATGTTCCCTGGTGGCTGAAATGATCAATTAAGCTAGCAACACCTAATTCGTTTTATGAACTTCAAAGAGTATTTGGTGCCATCTACTGGAAGTGAAGGAGTAAATATAAAACAAAGGACTTGGGGATTGGGATTTTTTTTCCCCTAAAAATTGTATTTCAAAATATATATAAAATGACCAGTTAATTAAGAAAACCAGAAGTGCAGGTTTTCAGTTTTCTTTAAAGACTCCTAGTCCTTAATGCTTTGGAAGCATTAAAAGTATGAATTGATAGTCACTGCCCTGTTTTCTCAAAAGTTGGAAATTCTAGAATGTTTGAACCTCAATTTTATGACCAGAATTTTAAATAAAAAACTATGTGTAGCAAGTGTGCTGGTGCACCCCTGTAATCCCAGCACTCAGGAGGCTGATGCAGGAGGATCACTAGTTCAAGAGCAGCCCAGTCTACATAGTTCTAGGCCAGCCTGAATTACACAGTGATATCTTGTCTCAAAAAAACAAAAACCAAAACCAAAAACCAAAAAAAGTTATGTGCAATAGCATAAATATCAGATAAAAACAGCTTTATGTACATATCAAGATAGAACAAATAGAACTGAAATGTACAGTTGAAAATGGAAAGATATAAATCTTTACTGAGTGTTAGAAGTTAAGATCTAGTCTCCTTTCAGGTTTGTCTTTTCAGTGGGCAAAGCACGGGACTTAAATGGTTAATGCTGGCATTGAGCAACAGGCTCATTGCTGCTCTGACAGATGCATGCCCTGCAGTGAGTACTTCAGATGCCAGGAAAGACTTGAGACACTTCATCCCCAAGTGTCTAGAAAGTTCTAAAATTGTGGAACTCAAACCTCTTATTTATAACTGAGTTTGACACTAACTATGGTGACATTAAAATGAATTATATTTGCTAAATTTTGGAGGAATTTTGTTCTTTGAAGTATAAAAAAATTAGGGCCAGAAGTTTCTGCTTTATTATCAATCCCATCCTTTGTGGTTAGTTTGGACACTCCAGTACCATGACACTCAATATGGTACTAAGTTTCAAAAACCTCTATAAACTCTGCCCTGCAAATTTTAATCTTCTCCACAAATACAATTTTTTAAATGTGGCAATGAATAAAACACTATCATATATATTACATAAAACATTTTGTAGCAGGAATTTTTTTTAAAGATAGATTTACATTTATATTGGCCCAGAAAGATCTGATGATCTTCACGTAGTATTTGTTTAAATAAAGGCCTAAAGTAGCTAGGAATGGTGGCACACATGCCTGTAATTTTAGCCAGCAGGAGGATCACAGGTTTGAGGCCAGCTGGGCAACTTAATGGGATTGTCTCAGAATAAAAAATAAGGGCTAAGGATGTAGCTTAGTGCTAGAACACTTGCTGTAGCTTGCATTAGACCCTGGATTCAATCCCCAGTAAGAAAGAAAGAAAAAAAAGATTCAAACTACATATTTTCTTATTTTCAAATGAAAGATACATGCAAATGAAGTAATGTAGGAGAAAGTAATGAAGGAGTAATGAAGTAATGAAGGAGAAATAGGATTGTGACCACTGTTAAGAAAAAAAGAATTTGCTATACTTGTTTTAAATTTTCTACAAACAAGTATCCATTTATTATGTGAATAAAGGTTAAACTAAAATAGGGGAGTCATTAAAAAGAAAACCATATAGTGATTCAGCTTCTACGAGGTTCTCAAGTAGCTTTAGTTATGAGAACCTGACGAAATCATAGTTTTAAGTTGTTTTTCTGACTATAACAGTAGTATACATCATAGATGATGGAGAATTATCCTTAAACCCAAAAAGATACTCATTTTTATAATCAAGTGAAATCATACTGTACAGCTAATTTTCTGCGCTTATATTTTTCCATATATTTCATTAAATATTTTCTAGAATATTAAAATAGCATTCTGTAATACAAATGTTCTTTAATTTTAATTTTGTTTTCAGTACTGAGTATTGACCTGTAAGTATAGAGAAGCCAGGGTTAAAAAGAGTATGAATAGTTAATGCTTCTCCAACAAAATAAGGTATATAATGCTTCTACCATCTAACAAAATAAGGTATATAAAAATATGTATGTTTTGGAATGTATGAAGTATCTCTGAATATATAACTATATATATATATATATAACTAACCTGTCACCAGATATTCTTTGTAATATCTGAATTGTGTTCTATGTATTTACACTATCCTCCAAAATAAAATTTTAAATCTAACCACAGAGCCTCAAATATCAACAAGCTATAAAACAAAGTAGGTGATGGCTATTATCTTCAATAAAGAAAGAGCTGCCTTCAAATGGAAAAAAAAACTTGCCAAGGCAACAGATCCAAGATGTGGAATTAGTAAAAACAAACACACACATATAGCTAATGTACTTTTAAAATATTTATCCTTCCTAAGTACTAAACAGGAATAAAACCCCAAATATTATTTTATCTATCAGATAGGAAACTTTTTTTAGAAAAAAATATTCAAGCCAGGCCTGGTGTCGCACACTTGTAATGCCAGCACTCAGGAGACTGAGGCAGGAGGATCACTGCAAATTCGAGAGTAGCCTGGGCTATAAAGTGAACTCAAAGCCAGCCTCTACTGCATAGCGAGACTCTGTCTCAAAAAGACCAAAAACAAACAAACAAAAAATTACATCTACTACTTGTGCATATTTATGAAACAGGAATGCTATATTTTACCTGTGATTTTTACCTTCTAGTTATATATTGAAAACCTAAAACACATAACATGCCCACTTATCCTCACCTAGTAAAATCATACCTAAGAACTGAACTTGACGAAATAATGGATCAAATACAAAAATGTAGATGTAATGGAGACCATAGTCCCAGTTCTAATTATAATTCTAAGTCATGGGAGACACACCAATGTTCACTAGTAAGTAGCTACTAAATGTTGTGTTTAATAAGAGTATTAAAAAAAAAAAAGACCACAGTACATGGGAAAAAAAGATTAGAGAAAAAGAAGTGTACATTGATCTTATAAGGTGAAAGTGAGAAACATATATATATGCACGGGAGTCTGGAAACACATATACCAAAATGTTAATATTATTATTATTTCTGGGAGTAAATAATAGATGGTTTTTGACTTTACTTTTTTGTTTTTTCCAAAGTATTTTTTATAATAAACATGCATTTCTTTTCTAATTGGAGAAAACGATATAGCTATTATGGGGTAGGGGGGCACAAAAATCTGAAGCTATACTTTTCCCTCCAACTTTTAAACAAGGAGCAAAGTTGTCTAAATCTGTGTGTCAAAACTCTAAAGATATTCTTTTATCTAGTAATAAAAATATTTATCAAATATAAAATGGGTAGAAATATTGCTTTATTGGAGAAATTCACGCTCAAATTACTTTCATGTTTCTTAAAAAGTTCTAACAAGCATCCAAGAAGAAAACATATACAGCTTCCATAGGAATAAGAACAAACAATATGGGGCTGATGACTGCCTCAAATGTTACTTCTTTAAAAAAAAAAAAAAAAAAAAGGAGTATCTAACTTTTTTGGAGGAAATCATAAATAAGATTTTCTTACTTTACATGAAAGAAGAACTGAGATCCTGTTTTTGATGCATATTAAATACAAAATACAAAATCCACTCTCCGACAAGATGAGGGGGAAAAAATCATTCTTCAATATTTTACTTCTCATGCAATAAAATCCAAAGGTCTGTTGAATCCACCTTTTCTATTCATGTATTGCCTATGATAAGAAGAGAAAACCATTGTTTATTTTTTTAAAATCTGAAATATACACACACTTACCCTTCAGTGGTTAAACTAAAATCAGCTTTAAAATGCTAAGGGTTAAGTAAAATTATTTTACTTTACTTTTCTTTTTTTTTTTTTTTTTGAGGCAGGGTCTTGCCTTGCGGCTCAAATTGGCTTTGAGCTCACTACATAGTCCCAGGTAATCCTGAACTCAGTTATCCTCCTGCCTCGGTTTTCCAAGTGCTGGCATTACAGACTTGTGCCACCACATGCAGCTTTTAATTTTATTTCTTTTTGTAGTGCTAGGGATAAGACCTATGGCACAGGCAAGTGTAGTATCACTGAGCTACAGGTGTAGCCCATACTTTAAGCCAAAGTCTTGGATTTCTTTTCTTTCTTCCTTTTTTTTTTTGGGGGGGGGGGGCCTATGAGGGATCAAATTCATAACCCACACTTGCCAGACAGGTGCTGTACTGCTGAACTATATCCCTGGCCCTGGATTTCTTTAAACTCTGAGTTGCAGTATGTAAATATACTTTCAAAATTATTTGGGAAGATTCTACAGACTTTAACACAAAACAAACAAAGGAACAAAACCAACTGAGTCAGGGTAGTGGTACACACCTATAACCCCAGTTACCTGAAGGCCAAGAGAATAGGAAGTTCAAAGCCAGCATGGAAAACATAGCAAGACTGTCTCAAAGACTTTTAAAAAAATAATTAAAAAGGGCTGAGGTATAGTTCAGTGGCAGAGTGCTTAGTACTCTGGGCCAGTACCTCACTCCTTGCCAAAACAAAACGAATTAAAATTCCACACTTATTTTATATAACACCAACAGCTATTTTAAACAGAAAAGAAACTCAGGGGCCTGGGATTTAGCTCAGTGGCGTAAGTGTCTTCCTGGCAAGCACAAGGTCAATCCCGGTACCAAAAAAAAAAAAAAAAGAAAAGAAACTCAAAATAGGGCCAGGGATTTAGCTCAGCAGCCTAAGGGTCTGCCTTGCAACTGCACAGTCCTGAATTTGATCCCCAGTACAAAAAAAAAAAAAAAGAAAGAAACTCAAAATAGGTAATACCAAGCAACTTCAAGTACACTGCAATGATTCTCCCCAAACAATTTTGCTGGGCGTGGTGGCTCACGCCTATAATCCCAACACTTGGGAGGCTGAGGCAGGAGGATTGCTGGGAGTTTGAAACCAGCTTGGGCTACAAAGTGAACTCAAGGCCAGCCTGAACTGCATAGAGAGACTCTGTCTCAAAAGAAAAAAAAAAAAAAATAGTAATTTTACAAAACACTATTCATAATGATTCTAGAACCTTAGACACAACACTCTCAAATTACATTATTCATAGTCTAAATTAATTGGAACATTAGTCTTTTATCAGTGATAAAAGTGGAGAAAGGGCAATGTTTGAATATGTCTTGACTTTTTCATTTATTAAGAATTAAATAAAGGCTGGGGATTTAGTTCAGCAGCTCAAAGAGCTTAAATGCAAGGTTGGGAGTTCAATCCCCGTTCCCAAAAAAAAAAAAAAAAAAAAAAGAATTAAATGAGATTTCGAATACAGTCTGTTCCAACTCTAAGTACAAATAAGATACATCTAGAAGTAACGGAAGAATATACAGCTGAAATCCTTACATAATTAATATAAGTAAACAGTTTATTTGAAGAACTTAATATCTAAAACATTTAACTGACTACATTTATCTATAGTAGCTATTTGGTCCACATAAATTGGGAAACAACTTTAACATACCAAAATATAAGGAACATACTTCATTTGAATAAGGGGAAGTATGGAAAACTGTTATATTTCCTAAATAAACATGATTACCCATTAATAATGTTTTTTCCAAGTGTGAAATTGATTTTAGTAGTTCAAACATAAAGGGGTTCAAACATAAAGGCTTACCTGTACTTCCTCTTCTGAGATACATTTATGGCATAGGCATTTACAGAACCATCTACCTTTTTTCCCTGGAGAAAAACAGTAAATAAAAAATAGGAAGGACACATGAAATACCTAGATCGAAGGGGCAGATCACACTGACACACTTAAATGGCAAAATCCAATAAGAAAAAAAGTCTAATAAAAGAGATATTTTAGATCCTGATATCTCATAAACTCTCAAGTTTAACGACTCTGCTCACATTTTTACAGTCACACATAAACAAGCACAATATTCAAATCAATAAACAATAATGTTAAGTCACAGCTCAAATACTTTCCATTTTTCTAACCCCATTTCTTGCATGAGCTTTGGCTTTTTTTTTTTTTTTTTTTAAGCCTTCAAGGAGCAGTATATAGAATCATGGGCACACCTTTATTCTTTTTCACAAATTCCTTTAGTCTTTAGATCCAACCAAGTTATCTCAACTACCCACCTACCACTATGCTGCTGCTCTTGCCTGAAATGCCTGCCTTGCCCCCATTTAATCTTCAACTATCTGGTTCTTACGCATCACTCAAGGGCCAATTCAAACAGTCCAGCAGCCAGGTAGTATCTTTTTTTTTTCTTTTCTTTACTCCTAAGGAACATTAACTATACTTTCGGCACATACATTTTACCTATTATGATTATGATTTGATTTTTTCTTTTTTGGGGGTACCAAGAATTGAACTCAGAACTTCATGCCTGTCAGGCAGGCACTGCACCACTGAGCTAAAATTCCTGAACCTCTGATTTGGTTTTTTCAAAGAGTCTTGCTGTGCAGCCCAGGCTGGCCTTGAACTTGTGGCAATCCTCCTGTCTCTGTCTTCCTAGTGCTGGGATTACAGGTGTATACCATCATGCCTAGATTTTATTGAAATGTTAAGTCATAGTATTATTTTTCCTATGAAATTACACTTTTTTGTTTTATTTGTTTGTTTTTTGCAGTACCTGGGGTATGAAGTCTTTTTTATGATAGGGTCTCAGTCACTAAGGTGCTCAGGCTTAGTGAAATCCTCCTAACTCAGTCTCCCAGAGTGATGGGATTACTGGTGTGTGCCACCCCACCTGGGTAGACTGCAAATTTCTTAAGGGAGGGATATGAATATACCTGAGAGTCTCCTTTGTATTCTCATACCCTAGGTTACTGCACTAGGTGTTCAGAAATGACTGCTAAATTAACATCCCTAGCTAATGTCAAGAAACACACACACATACCCGGTTCTCCATCAATACTTACTTGAGTGTAGTCTCTGTGTGGTGTACCTATTAGACTTCTTCTATCAGGGAAAAAATATAGATTTGAACTCACTGGCCTAAAGGCATGGGCAAGGTGAGCTACAAGTCTGAAGTAGGGCTAAAATAAATATGTATGGACTCAACTTTCTTTCTGTCTTTCTTTCAATAAAGGAAGACAATTTATTTGAAGGGAGGGGGAGGGGGGAAAGAGATACAGCAGACAGTACTCTAGATGAGAAGGGAATTATCAGAAAGGGAAATATTCTGGACTCAAATTTTCTACTTTTAATCTATTTTTATGGAAAGGAGAAGACACTGAACAAATCATCTGAAGTACGATTCTGACCTAAGAATAGGAGGTAGCACGACTTAGAAATACTGGCTTCGTAAATAAATGATACTCATTTTTTCAGTAGTACTGGCAACTGAATAAAGGCCTCACACATGCTAAGCAAGTGCTCTATCACTGAGCTACATCCCTGGTCTTTTTATTTTTTCAGACGGGGACTCACTAAGTTGCCCGGGCTGCCCAGATTCAAAGGTGCTATCCTGGCTGGAGATTTAGCTTAGTGTCATAAGCACCTGCCTAGCAAGTGTGAGGTTGTGAGTTCAATCCCCAGGACCACAAAAAAAAAAAAAAGTTGTATCCTCCCAAGTAGCTAGGATTAAAATGCAATGTGTCCTTGCACTTGGCAATGATAATTCTTTTATTAAATTCAATTTCTAAAGGCTTACTGAAGGACTGGAGATTTAGCTCAGCAGCAGAAGCACCTGCCTGGTAAGCGCAAGGTCATGAGTTCCATCCCCACTACCAAAAAAACAAAACAAAGGCTTACTGATTTTTTAGAAGCTTTGGTAGAATTGTACATTGTCCTATTCTGATTTATTTGGATGTTAGTAGAGAAAACTGTCCATTAATGTTATAAACAAATGTTGAAACTCTCTAGAAGAATGTTAAAATAGAAAGAAAAAAAAAAGTGACTGGCATGTGAAAATGTCTTACAATAAGGCTGGGGTATAGTTCAATGGTAGAGCATTTGCCTAGCATGTGATGAGACCCTGGGTTAGGTTCCCTGCACATTTAAAAAAAGGTTCAACAGTAGATCGCTGATGGAAATATCACAAGATATACATTATTGAAACATTAGAATGAGGTAAGAGACCTAATAACTGATAGTAATAAAGCCAACTGCACATGAACTAAATTAACACTCACAGAAGTCATTAGAAAACAACTGACATGGGGGTATTGTTTATGGGTAAAACAACTAACTACCTAGTTCGCATGAGGCCCTGGGTTCCATTTTTAGCAGTGGATGGAAAAAAATCCTCAATATCAATTGATCACATGGCACTCCATGATTTTTATAGGATCTATGATTTCTCATCTAATGTTTCCTTTGCAAACCAACATTTTCAGCACTGACTACATTTTACGAAGGGTAGTTCCAGCCTTATAGCTGATTTTCAGGAACTTCAAATACAGATCAGGCAAAAGTAAAATCAAAAACAAACATGAAGGGGTGGGGATTTAGGTCAGCGGCATAAGCGCCTGTCTTGCAAGCAGGCAGTCATGAGTTCGATCCCCGGTACCGATAAAAAGGAAAAAAAAAAAAAAAAAATGAAAATAGTTCCGACAAATTCCTTCCTTGTTCTTCTAAAAGCAGTAATACTGCTTTACTTTGGGGATATTTTTTTTCACCCAATATACACACACACCCCATTACACTCATAAAATACTCTGTAAAAAATAGAATTGGAAATGGTCATGATTATGTCTGTAATCCTAGCATTTGGGAAGCTGAGGCAGGAGGCTTGTTATGAGTTTTTGAGACTAGCCTGGGCTACAGGATGAGCCCAAGGCCAGCCTGAATGGCATAATCAGACTGTCTCAGAACAAAACAAACAAATCAGAATTTGGTATATTCAAGGGGGAAATAGCTCAGCAGCACAAGCACCTGCCTGGCAAGCATGAGGTCATGAGTTGGATTCCCAGTACCAAAATAAGGGGGACAAAATGCTCATATGTAAACATCATTAAATGCCAAAATGGGGTTCACATAACCACTGCAAGAACAAGAGCTCATTCTTAATCTTTTCATCTCAAAACAGTCATTCGTCAGTACTCCACTGAAGTTATATATGGTCATTTTAAAACTGATAAGCCCTGCACTATACTATCACATTAGTTTAAAAAAAAATCTCAATTTTCATTTGCAAAACCAAGTAGAAAAACTTAGTATTTTAGAAGAGATTTTTAAAAATATATTCTTTCCACATACTCTCCCTTTCTCCATCTGGCCTCCTCCCTCCGTCCATTTCTTCTCTTTATATTCTCCATCTCCCATTTTGCCAAAACTATCTTTCTGGTACCCTCTCCTGTATCCTCCTCGCTCATTACATTCTCTCCTCTCTTCCTTCTCCCTCATTTCTCTGTATTATGAGACCGCGTTCATGCTCTAATCCATCCTCAGTCACCTTCTGAGCTCAGACACATGGCAGATGTTCAATGTCATCTTTATGAGGCAACTGCATAACATTCTACGTCCCAGCAGCTCCCCATGCTGTAATTTTCTTCCAGGTAAACTGTCTCACCTAGGCTCCAGCACAGCGTCTCAGAGGTACCACTGACTACTGTCCCATCCCCAGTTACTCTGGTTCTGAAGTAGATCTCAAATTAATTTAGCTGCATCACCTTTCACATGCACAACTCACTGTTCTCCCTGTCTCTAATCTAACCCACCTTCTATCTGTCCTCTGCGCCATTCCTCTGTTCAATACCTCACGAATGAACCCTAAAATTCTTAGCATGGCTAAGGGATCCAAAGCCCTCCACAATTCAGCTCTTACTTCCGTTTGTAGCTTCAATTACAATCATTATCTCATCGGCATCCTTTAACCAGTCACTGAATTTGAAATTCCCAAAATATATCTATACAACTACAGGGCACACCTACTTTTTCACGCCTACAGAGCACCCTGAAACATCTTCCTCTTCTTCTTTGTCTGATCACTTCTCCTTGTTCTTTAAGATCTAACCAACATGTCATCTCTGGCAAATATTCCCTGAATTCCAATGGCAGTTCAATGCTTACTCTGCTGGGCTCTCAAAGTCCTTCAAACAGAAAATTACTATCTTACAGCTAAAGAAATTATAAGTGATAATGAAAGACTATGAGAAAAAGGGACCAGCAAAACCACATTAATTCAAATCAGAATGTTTAAATGGTTGTGTTTTACTTACTTTTGTGGAGTCAAAAGATGCAAATCCCATTAACTTCATCATTTCTATTTCTTCCTCTGTTTTGCCTTCTAAGTCTTCCTCTGCAAAAATAACAATTTTTTTAGGACTGCTGTGAGTTTGAGGCCAGCCTGGGATAAGTAGTGAGTTCAATACCACCCTGAACTATACAGTGAGATCCTATCTCAAAAAACAGAACAAAAAAAAAAAAAAAAATTCCACAATTTTTTTAACCCTCATGTCATTTTTGAACACAAATATAAATGAATATAAAGAGGAACAGCAAGACATTAAGAGATATTCCATCTCACTAGCAGAGAACATACACACAAAAAGATAAATCTAATGAGTAAAGGTCCTTTTAAATTCAGACAGAATGTTAAAAAAAAATTCAGACAAAATGTAACTTAGGGTAACGAAAGGACTGTGCTCACTCCTTGGAGTCTTTCCGCAGGTCAACCTCTACTCTCAGATGTGACATTATCTACTTTTAAAGACACTTCCAAAACAGAATGTTCTCATGTTTTAAACTAACCTTCCTAGCACCATTCCCTATCAGAAGCACCAAACATAACCAGCAACTCACTAAGGAACAATTACAATCTCAAACCCATATGCAATGATCACTATAAAAAGCTTACTATTTAAATGTTCAAAATTAAACTACAGGGTCAGGGATATAGTTCAGTAGCACAGCACCTGCCTTTAAGAGCAAGGTCCTGAGTTAAATTCTCACACACACATCATGACTGAAATTCTCTGAACAAGGCTGTATATCTAATAACATTACCAGTAATCTGACGTTCTTTGCTCTTTGTTTCTTTTGTTTCCTTCTTCTCCTCATCTCTTCTTTCTTTCAATCGTGAAGGGGAAGGCGATGTGGATCTATGTCGTCTTGGAGATCTAATATTTGTAAGCAGAGACGTTAGAAACAGACATGCATGGCAACTCTGTTGATGAACACATTGATGATTTCTTGGAAAGTGAAGACTAAATAAAGCCAGGCCCCAGAAAGTCCCCAGAGCAGAGTGAGAAAAAAAAAGGTTCTACCTAAGCTTTGACTGTTAAAGAGGAAAAATTAAAAATACAGGTTGCTCCTTTTCATTAGTTGCATTCAGTGTAGTATTCAGGGCGAAAATGTTTTTTTATGAGGCAAAAAAACCTGTCTTAAAAGTTTCTAACAACCTGGTACCAAAAAAAAGTTTGTAATAATTACAAACCCAAACTACAAAAAGCTCACTTAAATAGCAATTGATGCTTATTAACAATTAATTTCTAAGATTTCTGTATTATGGACCACTTAGGTGTTTATCTTGTTGGCACCAAAAAGTTAATTGAGAACAATGAAAATACAAAATACCTGGTTTTTTTTGTTTTTGTTTTTTTTTTTTTATTTAGGTGTAATCAACTCCATTTTGCTTAGGGACTACTAGCTTTAGAATAAAGTAGGATTAAGTTTTCTCCATTTCATTACGCTGTCAATGCCGTAATACATGATGAAAACAAAAGGCAATGACTGGGTTTTTTTGCAGCTCCGTGGCCACACTTCTAGTTTGTTTTTTGCACTCACCTAGAGCGGCGCCTGTGCGGGGACCTGGAGCGGCTTCTCCTGCGATCTCTCTCCCGGGATCGGGACCTTTCCCGGCGCCGGCGCTCTCTCTCCCGGGAAGTAGACCGCGATCGCCTACGTTCTAATACAAACACAAAAAAATTGCAGCGCCAAAAAGTACAGTACGTCAGTTATCTAGAGCTATAGAGCTATGCTGCAACGTAATAGGATCCATTTCTAGCAATCACACTGAAAAGGTCAAAAGAAACAAGTAGCAATGGGTTTAACCCAATAGTGTCAATGATATTTGAGCCAATATATTCCAAACCATTAGCATTTCAACATGTGGGCAATAATAAAATTAACAAGACATATTACATTTTAAAAATAGGAAATCCAGTATCTATTCTTGACTCACAGTTACTTCTCAACTCGGATCAGCCACAACGCAAGCGCTCAAGGGCCTCAGATAGCTCGGGGCCTCATTTAATTTGTAAGAAAATTGGGTATTCACTAGGTGAGCGTGACAGAAGGGAGGGTCTACGATAGACCTCTTGATGCAAGTCCAGGTTCTCTGCCTCATTTTATGGGGCTGGGAGAGGCATTAGGAGAACTCCCTGGACTCAAAATTCTGAATACAGGTTTCCCTACTAAACTGGGGGTGGGTGGGGATACTTTGGTTTTTAACACTGAATATTGTGGAACGTGACTTATTTCGCACAGTAGCTGTTTACGGCACGTAATGTTACTCGGAACGACCAGGGGAATTCAATTCAAAAAGGGTAGGGGATTTGTGAACGGTCATCTAGAAATTAAGTGAATGAATTGTGGTCTGAGTCTAAAACCACTGACCACATGTATAATAAAAGTTACCGTATAAGGCTGACGGCAAGTCGGAGAAACCCTAATTCACAGAGAAACGAACCCCCTCCCCCCAAAAAACTGCCTTATAACCGGTGGGTCAGGGCCGAAGAGCGTAGGGCCCAGGTCTTCATTCCCTCATCGCTCGCTCTCCTCCTCGGGAGGAAAGGGCCACGCTCTCCGTTGCTCTGGTACTGAAAAAAAAGAGGGGGTGAGACATGCGCCTCCGATCGAACTCCAAGCCCCGTGCTTCCGAACTCACCTCTCCGCGGGGATCGGCTGCGACTGCGACCCATTATGAGTCCTACTTCTCCGCACACCGCCCCGGAAACGGCTCTGTAACAACATCCGGGGGAGCCAAGGACTCAGCTTTAACTTCCGACTGGAAAACATCGAGACAAGACGCTAGGGTTCCGGACCCTAAAGGAGACGGGGTGCGCAAAGTGGCCCGGCCTCCCGCGTGTCCTACGCCGCCGCCGCTGAGCCCAGAGGTTTATATTACCATCTTCTTTGTGCATCCTAGGCGTTGACGTATACTGCATTTGATGTTCTTGCAGGAATGTCAGGAGAATTCAGCCACGTAGGCACAAACTTAATCCGGTTTTCATTTATCCCATTTTTTTTGCTAATCTTTGCCCACGTGCATAAAATACATTAATCCGTTTTAAACATAGCGTGCGCACGTAGTCTGTATACTCCAAGTCTTCGGCATAACATTCTTCCTCTAACTTTTCCAGAGTTCACCGCAAATCGGTTTTCGATTTTCACTGATGCTAATCTTGAGAAGGCACTCAAAAACTGCTATGGGCTTCTTAAAGGAAAAGCAAAGGTTATATAACTCCATTCTTACTCCCAACGAGTATAGGCACGAAGCAGCCCTGACTCTCCAAATTGAAGGCTTTACAATGCTCAAAATTGAGCCAGGTGGAATGGCAATCACTTGCAATCCCAGGAGGCTGAGGCAGAAGGATTCTCATGAGTTCCAGGGCAGTCTGGACCATATAGTCCAAGGCCAGCCTGAATTACAGAGTAAGACCCTGTCTCAATAAAAAAATAAAAATTAAAAAAAAGAAAAATCTCAAAATTACAAAAACAAGGAGAAGGGCTCTTTTACCTTCCCAAGGCAGAAGCTTCTGCAATCGAACGTAAGTACACTAAGCAGTACAGGCTTGAATCTGTATTTCAAGTTAAACTTACTCTTCTTCACCCTCATTTTTCTCCAGAGTGAATAAGTCTGATGTCCTGGCTTTTAGAGCAAAGAACTGGAAAGAGAATAGATGAAAATGGGCATGGTGGCTCACGCCTGGAATCCCAGCACTAGCCAAACTGAGGCAGGAGGATCATTGCAAGTTTGAGACCAGCGTGGGCTACAAAGTAAACTCAAAGCCAGTCTGAACTGCATAGCGAGAACCTGTTAGAAAAGGAGAGAGAGAGAGACAGAGATAGAGACAGAGACAGAGACAGAAAAAGAAAATGAGAATGAAAACACTGTGCCTACCAGTCACAAATTTTTGGAGCTACATGTGGTGGCACATGCCTGTAATCCCAGCACTCTGGAAGGCTGAGGCAGGAGGATTGTTGTTGCAAATTCATGGCCAGCCTGGACTACAAAGCAAGCTCAAGGCCAGCCTGAACAACAGAGCGAGGCCTTATCTCAAAATGACAAAAAAAAAAAAAAAAAAACCTTTTTATTAGATTCAGATGTGCTTATTTAATACCTACCCCAACATAACTTTCTAGAAAAAAACTGGGCAAATCTAAGATTTCCACCAAGAGGCCTTGCTGGCAGACTCTTGGGATTGTCCTGACAGATGTGCACTAAGGGGGTGAAAAGAGAGGTTCAGGGCTAAGCATTGCCAGGCCCCCAGGGGGAAGGGTTAGCAGTGTTACTATAGAAACACACTGCTATGGTAACTGTCACTGACTGGCTTACCGATAATAGAAATTAAACCTAATGTGACAGTATGAATTTATGGGCAAAAGCTTTAATTGGAAGGTGACAGAAGATGAGGAAAACATTCCAGCTTGAGTAGTAGCTGTAGAGAGCACATTCTGATGAAAAGGACAGGAAAGAATGGAGCGCAGTGTTTTGGGGTGTTGTGGGGTCTTGTCAATCAGTATCTAAGTCCTGGTTTTGTAGCTTCGAAGGAATCCTCACGACGAGGGGCAATTTGGTTCTTGTGTAAGGAGTCTTCCCAGTGTGTGAGGCTCTCCTGGAATCCAGAGTGACCTTAGCAGTGGTGTCAGACCATGACACACATACTGCAGTGAGCCGTTTGTTATCTTCGAAAACTCTAAAAGGTTCCTCATCACCAGTTTAGGGCTATGGAGACTTCTGGGCATAGGTGTTCTTATTCTTGAATGTGATGATGTTACAGGCAGCTGAGTTGGTTAGAAGTGTTATAGGTAGTCAGACAGGGTTGGGCCCTCAAAGGAGCCAGAGCAGAAGAGCAGATACCTTGCAACCTTGGAGGAGACAGACACGTCTGGAGTGACCAGACCTCAAGACAAAAGGCAAAACAAATATAACCACTCCCTAAGTATAAACATCAGGGATATAAATAAATAGCTATGAGTCACCTTGAGGAAGCCAGGAGTCACCATCCCAACCCTCCATAGGAAGAGTCACCGCTCTTTAAGCAGGCCTGCTTGCTGCATGACTCACTTCCGCATTTGTCCCTACTTGGGTCAGTTTTACCTGAATAATTAATCATATTGGCTGTCTGTAGTTCTGTCCCACCTTGTCAGCCTGCCTTGCCAGGGCCCATGTTTTCCCAATCTTGGACCTGTCTCACTTTGTGGTTTGCTCTATAAAAGTCCCTAGAAAAAACAGTCCTTGGCAACCCACTCAGGACCCCTTTTGTCTTTCTTCAGACAGAAGCTTTCTTTCTCTCAATAAATATATCCTCTGTTGTTCCTAAAATTCATTGTTCAGTTTTAGAGAACACGAACTCATACTGGACGTCTAGTAGGTTTGGGAGTTTCATTCCCCTTTATTAATGAGATAGAGTAGGAAAATTTAGGGGTAATAAACGTTTTTGGCCAACTTTTAGATAGGTATTTCTTACATGATTAGCACAACTACATAGAACTGAGAAGAATCTGACCCAGATTTTTACAAAATGAAGGTCAGATTTTATCCTACTTACTTTTAAACACAAGTCTGTTCTTAATGAGTAAAAGGTTAAGGGCCAAGGAGGTGGATTTTCTTCTGTTCCTGTGGTGGCCCCTGGGTCATAATGATTGAATTCATTGCCCATAAAGAAGGAAGGAAATTATGGGAAATGAAGAGGCTACGCACTAGAGGTACAAGAAAAATATGGTGGCCTCCAGTAACTGAAAACATTTCTTCTCCCCCGCCAACCCAAGAGCTGGGTCTCATCTGATAAAAATTTTATTTTTTAAGACACCTCTGCAGAACTTCCAGAAATTGTTGGGAGATGTTCTAAAGATCAGGGTTTTTTTTTTTGTCTTTTTTGAGATGGGGTCTTGATATGCAGTTCAGGCTGGCCTAGAGCTCACTTTGTAGCCCAGGCTGGTCTCGAACTTGCAATGATCCTCCCACCTCAGCCTCTCGAGTGCTGGGATTACAGGCGTGAGCCACCACGACTGCTTGCTTGCAAAGCAGGTGCTTATGCCACTGAGCTAAATCCCCAGTCCCAAGATCAGTTTAATAAATGAGTATCTTTAATACCTGCTGAGTATAGTATACTACACTGCTTTGGCATGGGAATGAAAAGATGAGTGACACAGTTCCTGTGTCAAGAAGCTTACAGTCTAGTTGTAAAATTAGAGAAAGAGATGGCTTTTCTTGGAGACATTTTCACTAAAATATGGTAAGGTAAGATATATGTGCTTTGGCAGCAAGCAAGGACAACCAGTCTAATGTGGTATTCCATGACGTGTCCTGGAATAATAGTTTCACCTAGTGCATGTTATGTGAACTGTATGCCAGACAGTTATACAAACTAGTTGGTTTACATTAATATGCTGTATGTAAGGAAAAAAAAAACCAGTTGGTTGAACCCTGAGACTGGAACTTGTCCAGGCAGAGGGTGGAGTAGCTGCAATCCCAAGAACAGAGGTGTCACACTGGGCAAGCCCTGTTAGTGACTTGATCTCATTACACTGAGTTTGTCATGGGCAGTCATATCAAGTGTCTGGCACTTTATCCTTAATGTGATAATGGCCACTGGAGTATTTAAAGCTAGACAGTTCCACGACTGGATTTGTTTCTGATGTTTCGTTCAGAGATTTGAACCAGAGAGAACAGATGGAGGTAATAAAAACCAGGACTAGAGCAGTGACAGATACGTAGTACAGAAAACAGAATCAGGAAACATGAGGAGCGGTGTGGCAGCTCTTGGTGGGTGGCAGCAGGAAGAGAAAGAAGATGTGACTACTGGGCAGATCCTGCTTGACAGGTATGTGACCTGAACGGTCACACTGGTCTTGTGTTTAGAAAGACCTCACGCTTTCTTTAGTACTTGGCTGCCGCCATTTTGAAATTCTCACTTGTCTTGGAGTATGCATTTTCCAGCTGCACTGGGCCCAACGTCTTAGTGATGCTTATTAAGAGAGAAAGCAAGGTTTGTCTCTTCACCACTGTAGGGGACTGGACTATATAATTGTTGGGGAAAAGTGATTTCATAATTGAATTGTGATTAGGGCTTGTCTGAGGCCTAGAATTTTACCATGAAAGTTGGCTTTGGTATGTAGCCTTTTGCCTCTGGTCCCAGTTGACTTCTCAGTGGTCCTATGATGCTGTGACACCTCAGGGCTAGATTATATCACCTAAAGGCATCCAGGTTCCTTGAGAATTTAACAGTAATAAAAACAGTTTCACCCTAGGGAAAGGACAAACTCCTTCTCAGCCTGTCATCTCTTCCATCATCCTAGGGTCCTCATTAACATAAGGTCGCAAAGGTCTTCTGAGTCATCTGATAATCCCCAGTACACAATGGCTGGCTCCCAGTATCTTTGTTTTGCCCATCCTGAGGCACAGAGCTCCCAGCCTCCTATGCAAATTTGTCGCATTTTTTATTTCACCCTTTCACTTGACCCCTCGTGCAGGCACTTGGGAATCTTGGCCAGGTCCCCATACCACAGACAAGCATGAAATATGATGGTGAGTCCTTATGGAAGACATATGGATAAAGCAACAAAAAGATGTTCCTATTTTGTGTGTGGGGGGGTGTGCGAATCGAGGTACATTTCTGCTTACACTGGAGGGGAAGAATCTGAATTCTATTTTGTTAAACTATTTTTTTTTTTTTTTGTCTTTTTCGTTTTTATCGGTACTACCAGGGATCAAACTCACGACTGCCTGCTTGTAAGGCAGGCACTTATGCCGCTGAGCTAAATCCCCAGCCCCTTTGTTAAACTATTAACTATGATGAACACCCAAATAGATATTTTGGTT